AATGTTATCAATAATATAGCCACTATTATTTAAACTACACAATTTGCAAAAGAAAATTTACAAATTTTACAAATGCAAAAATAAGGATTTTATTTTTACATTTGTAGAATTTGTTTTTAGTTGATTTTGTATAGAAACAAACCATAAATATATGAAGTATGAGTTTTTACTTCTTTAATTATTTCTCAGTTTAACATGCGTAAAGACAATCAAGCTCGAATTCTTTCAATACTTGCGCAAATGTTTTATGTTATTTTCTTACATATTACGATGACCGACGTATTCTAGTTCTTATTATCTAATGAAAATCAGAACTGTTTAAACACATAAAAAAATAATTTACTAAACAAAAACATTTACTTGATTTCAATATCGAAAGCGCATCCAGACAAGAGCACGCATCAGAAAATCGTTACGGAATTATCTGAAGTATCGATCGTTTTTGACGTTTGTAGGCGCTAATGGTAATGTAATCAGCCACGTGATTTTGCAGAGATGCTTGGAGGATTTCGTTCGGCTGCAAACAAGATCGATTCAAAATTGGTAATTAGATTTTAATACTATTACAAGATTTGATAAAAATAAAAACAGAATCATTATAAGATATCAGTGTCAAACTCCAAAAAAAGTTTCAAGCGGAGTTTCAGTAATATCCATCTTGGGGGGATTTATCTTTAATTCTATCGGATATAGACCGGCATTAAAAATTAAATTAAAGCAGATTGGAACTTTTATGTCTATCCCCTCTGATTCACATTATGTATATTATTTTCAAAATTTAAATAAAATTATCTAAAAAGGAATGGAAGAAATTAAATATAAAAAATTTAATAGCAACAGTTTTAATCTCTCAAATTTAAATATATTTAGAAAAATATGAAGTAGTAAAAACTTATGAGAAAGAATAACATTTTATAACATGTTTTTCTAAGAAAGACTGCATATTAAACAAACAAATCTTTAACATTTTTGTTAAAACAAAATATAAGATTTTTTTATGGAAACTACTGTTAAGGGGATCCTAAAGACGATTAGTCATATTGTAAAACTTATACACAGACGATTTACGTGTCATTGACGTATCACTACATACTACTACATCAATATCTCACGCATACATACACGTAAATTTTCGTACAACAATAACGTTTTAATTAGACGTTTAAGCCCAATTTTAAGAAATCCACGTTTGTTCGTGCAAACTATTAGTGGACTACTATTTCGTAAGTACAGATTGCACAGCTTTTATATGAAGGAAACATTTGTTACGACGTGACAGCTCTAGAGCGTTATATTGAACCAAGAAATGGTAAAGAAAATTGTCAATTTCGAAATTTTTTGTCGTTCTCAGCATAGATTCCACCTCACAGACACATATTAATGCGTAGACACACTTTAATCCTGGAAAAGGATTTTCGAAGAAATGAAAGAGGAGGAAAGTAATTGTTATACAAAAATTATATTTAGTCAGTAATTATACAGACGACTTTAGGATCCCCTTAATAACTATTACAGTTTAAACTTTTTAGTAAACTTTTAACTAATAAAAAAGTTATACGTGATTTAATTACTCGCCTTTAGTTACAAATAAAAGACCCAGTAAATTTAATTGTGAGAAAGGTAAAATATTGAAATGGAAAAATGGAAATCAAAGTTTGATTTGATAAAAATATCTCCGCGCAAAAATAGACAAGTCTGCTCTTTGTAACAATTATTTGTATTTTTCGTAACTATGTTTTTTGTAAAAGTCGTCATTCACTAAAGTGACAACCAAGTGCCTCGATAACAACAGTACTATGTTGAGGGCCTGTTGCAGTGAATTTTTCCAATGTTTTGGCATTTATATAGAACAAATATCGACTTTATATTGGAAAACTTGTCGGCAGAGAGATTCTCTAGTGTTGTTATCTTTCGGCATTCGACAGTACAGATTTAAATCATTCTAGTGACGATTTCTTCCAATACAGCTATGTATAGGATGTTCAAAAAATATTGCCTTCGTTTAAGTTCTTTGAATAACTAAAAATTGAATTTTTCATAATCAAAAAAATTGATTGTGCTTTTCACAGTTTTTCCTTTTTCGATATTAAATATATATTTTTGAGTGCGGTCCACTTGCTGCTACAAATACTTCTAAGCGTTTTATTGACCAGTCAATATTTTTGACCAAAAAATATTTCAAAAACATCTATAGCCTCAATAACCTTTATAACATTAAATTATATAAATATATATCTTATTAAATATATTTTTTGTGACATTAAATAATATACATTTTTATTAGAAAAAAAAATTTATTTTTAAAAATTACTTAATTTTAAAAAATTAACAATTATAATTATTAACATATATAATTATTAATTAAAGAAATCTGTTCATCTCTTTTATTGTAGCGAAATATTTAAACTTAATCACTTACAGAATTATCAATGTTTAAATGTTGGTGAAAAAAAATCATCCTTTCAAATTGATCCATTAGTATTTACAGTTTTTATTATACGATAGTTATTATTTATTTACAGTATAAATTATTTACAGTTTTTAAAATGTTTATTAGCATCAATATTATTAAATTGCTTGTCAACTTAATTTGCAATATTACTAAATAGTTCTATGATGCGTTTTTCAAGATCAACGATGATTTCGGTGCGCAGTTTGTAAAATTGGATATGTATATAAAATTCACACTAATATATTTAAGTACTAATTGTAAGATCCAGCTCATATCGTATAGATTGTCGTTATTTAGTTATATTATTTATTTAGTATTAGAGTATTTCTTAGTTAAAAACAAAAGCACAGATAGAATTGTTGTTATATGGAAAGAACGGTTTTTTAAAATATCCAAAAATGTAATTAGATACAAATTTGAAAACAGCTTTATTAGACAATTAATATAATTATATAAGAAATTCAAGCATGATGAGCAATACTGCAAAAAGTTTTAACATTTTAGCAGCTAGCTTGAATATCCTATATAATTATCTTTATGGTCCAATAAAATTATTTTCAAATCTGTATCTAGCTAAATTTTTAGATACTTCAGCAAAACTATATACGACTTTTATGCGCATTTAATAATCTCTCTTCGTTTTGTCTTGTAAGAAAAACATAAAGTTTACACAGAAAAATTACTAAAATAAGAGCGATCTCTGTCGAGGATTTCGTTTTTAAACCGGATTTCAAACAGACGCAATTCTCCAGAAAGCCGGAGCTGTATACATTTTCGCGTTAAACGTTGTTTGTAAAAGAGATATTCGATTCGTAGAATTTGTAATTTATCTGCTATCGCGCATTGCACGCGGCGTCGCCTCCGTACAGGACGCGGCTTATCCTTCGTATCGGCGTCCCTCTAATCCAGCGAGCGCCTTAATTCCTGCAAGGACGAAGTTGCCCTTATTGTCTTCGTCCTTTATTGAGAAAGTAAGCTGTTTATCGGCAGCTAGCAGCGTTCCTTGTAATTTCGACATCCGACATTTGAAATTGCGATTTTGCTGGACAGACTGGGGCGGGATAACTTCCCAGTGGATATCCGGCACTTGGCGAACACCAATATCACTTGCGTCGACACGAAACTAATTTTACAGCATTCTTCATCCTTATTATATAATCTTATCCCATTGGTAGTTTATTATATTTATTGCAGTATATATTTACCCTTTTTGTAGGTTGAACTTAATATGTAAGTAAAGTGAGTTAGAAAAAAACAAATAAAAATTGTATCCTTTAACTAATTTCTCAAATGAATACTGCTCTAATAAAATCTTTATTTGAATTATAATGTTGAATGTTTTGAAAAAATTAATTTGATTTTAGAAGTCTGTTATTAGCAGTAAAATGAAGAAATTTTTTATGCTAAATTATACATGGAAAAAAGTTTTGTCAAAGTATACTGAAAAAAATGCATGTAATTTTACATAGAAATTACATGTATATGACTGGAAAATTATCTAAATTACATAAATATGCTTGGAAGTTTATTGGAAATTGTAAATTTCCAATCATATTTAGGCAATTTTCCAGTCATAAACATGTAATTTTTATGTAAAATTACATGCATTTGTTTCAGTGTATCTAAAAATTTATCTAGATACAGATTTATAAAAATAATTTTGCTTGAACTATCAAAATAATTATGTAGGATGCTTGAATTTGTTGCTAGAATATATTTCAAATACATACAATATTTTTGCAGTATTACTTATCATACTTGAGATTCCTACCTAATTATTTTGATGATCCAAAATTATTTTCAGATCTGTATCTAGCTAAATTTTTAGACTTTTGTCGAAAAAGGATTTACTTCGACAAAATCCTTTTTCGACAAAAACTATCCCTTCCGTGTAATAAATAGTTTACAATATAGATTCAATAAAAAGAGCGAGAGATTTGATATTATCTCGATCGTCGATCTATCATGGCCGACCTCACATGGTCATTCTCGATTTATCATCGTTCGTCTATCTATCACTCCAGATCGCAATCGTAATTTCGTTCCCAAGAAAGGGCAAGACCCCACGGAAAAATGATTTTCCGGGATAACAAATCCTGCGATTGCGAAGTAAACGAGGTTACGGCTTACAAAGGAAGAGAAGGCAACGGCAGTCATCGTGCCGCTCCTCTTGAAACTAGAGACCGACGGATATCCAATTCGAGCTATCGAAGGTCAAGTCGCCGTGGCACAAATTGCGTTACCGAGATCCTATTTTCCCGGGACTCCGCTGCCCCTTCCGCTATTCTTCCCGATGCAATTTTTCCGCGCCGGATAATAAGTTATTCGATCGCGAATTATCGAATGTTATCAGGCCGTCGATTTCTCACGCGATTCGATTTATCGAGAATGCCTCAGGAAGGATCGAGAATAACATTCGAAAATAATCAAATGATTCTTTCTTTTCACACAATAATCGATTTTTATCCTTCTTGCGTCGCTATCTTACTTTTATTAATAATCGTGGTCTTTTTTAAATTCAGGAAATAAAGTACGTAGCTCGCAGGATTAACGTTTCACGCGCGTTTGCGAAAGGATTGCGAAGAAATTATTCCGATGGAATCGCCAGGCTGCTAAATTTCCGCGAAGTATAATTGAAACGAATTAAGATGCGGGGAAGATAAATGAAATCAGGTAACCCACCGATCTAGATATGGATTTGCTCTTTATAAAGAGACACATTTGATCCTAAATGCAAAAAAAATATAGCTTTTAATAGTTTAAATAAAATTCCTTTGCTTATATATATCCATCATATCACTTTCAAAAGCATGGAATTTTTTTACCTTTTAAATTACTCGTTTTTAAACAAGATATTTTTAAGCTTTTCATTCTCCACGATCTATTATTAAACATATTTTTCAACAGATATTTTTGACAGATATTTTTTAACATTTTACTTGTTAGCTACGTTTTTATATGGTCTGCTTTTAATTGTTCCATTTTTCAACGTATTCAGTTTGAAACATATATTTTATAAAAATTTGTACACAACACAAGAACTTTTGGTAATTAATCTTTAATGACTTTATCTCACAATCAATGACTCTATTTTTATCAGTAATAATTTTTACTATTAAACTTACCAGCCAGGCGGCCATAGCGTTGGAACATTCGTTCCACGTCAGTCTTGCTACATTGAAATGTATTCAGGTTCCCGACGAAAACGCGTGAATTCACCGCCTGTGGGTCCTGCGAATTGGTCTGGTTGCCCACTTTGCTCATCTTCATCGCCTGAAAACATCAAAGAAAAAAGAAAGTTCAAAATCTAATTTTCTTTCTATTTTAAACAGTAATGAAATGAAAAACGTAAAAAAAGCATCAACATATTTTCACAAAGTCTATAGTTAAAATATATACTATAAAGATCATCCTAGAAAAAAATTTTTAATTTATATAATAAATACATATCTAAAGAATATTTATCCAAGATAGAAATAACTTTCATAGTATAGCGTCAATTAAAAAGAAAAATATTGAAGATAAAAGTTAATCTCACACGAATATCTAAAATAGAATCTCAAACAAATTAAGATGCGATATCAATCTTCGTTATTTAGAAGCACTTAATTTATTTAATTAATTTAACGCAGATATATATTCATTTTCACCTTGTCACATGTTATTTTTTAGAGAGAGTTAGAAAAAGGCTAAAGAAATGAGACAAAGGGAGAATAATGGATTAATTCAATTAATCGGCACAGGCATCGATTAATCCCGTAGAAATAGTCGGTTGCCACTAACGATCTCGTTAGTTTTACGCGTTATTTCGCAAAAGTAGAAAACGAACTGTTGCACAATGGGATTGCGAGGTGTTAATTAATCCACGACGCGCCAATTAGCGATCGCAAATGTCCCTTTGACGCTAGAAAGCTACACATCTCTGCGTATATTGTAATCATCGTTGTCATTACTATTTGTTATCATTTGTTTTATTTTGCTGTATACCCTTTACTTAGATATATATACGAGCAATCTGAACGACGGATTTAGATCTGCATGCACAGAGAGAAAAATGTTTGGTATTTGTAACTATAATTATATATTACCATAATTATGATTATTACTACTATAATAATAATAATAACAGTAACTATATATATAGTTCCAGCAACAAATGTTATAATTGGCAACCTAAAATGACTATAATTATAGTTGTTATAACCATAAAATAGTTGAAATTACCATAAAAATGGTTCAAGTGACTATAATTTTATAGTTATATTTTGGGACAACCATATTTTTAGACAAAATATAACTATAAAATTATAGTCACTTGAACCATTTTTATGGTAATTTCAACTATTTTATGGTTATAACAACTATAATTATAGTCATTTTAGGTTGCCAATTATAACATTTGTTGCTGGAACTATATATATAGTTACTGTGATTATTATTATAGTAGTAATAATCATAATTATAGTAATATATAATTATAATTACAAATACCAAACATTTTTCTCTCTGTGTGTATTGAATTAATCTTAAATGATTAAAATACATCGTATAATCTCTCGCAACACCTAATATATAGCTATATATCTATATTGAATTTAACCTATTAATGCATTTAATGATGTATGCGCGTACGCGCCATATATATCATCTTATCGCAATGCTTAAGACGGATATAACCATATCGAATTCAATTTAAAGGAAACTGAATATACATACAATTAAGATCACAGCAAAGCCATTGCGCATAATCCAGTATATCACTTAAGAGCTTAAACAATATTGAATTGACATTTATCGGTAATAATAATTGACGGAATAATTATCATGGATCATGCGGCATGGACGTGCGGATTTTTCAGCTAGGTCTTCAATAAGTATTCCACGTTATTTTTACAACACATCGCGTATAACTTCGCTGTCGCTCGTCGCACGAATCCAATTTGTAACTTTGATTGCTTGCGACGGAAAAGTTTATCGGGAGATCATCAAAAAGCTCGCATCACCGATAAACGAGAAACGATTATCGATTTCACAGGTGTATCAGGACGGCGATTGACACCGGCACGACGCCAATATATACATGTATTTATTAAAGAGTTGTTCTCCATAAATATCGACAGTTATACGACGGGATAGCCCAGAGGTTGGGGCCGATATTGGCTTGCACGTCAAAATTAGTAATCGACGCGTCGGCGAATTTAATCGACGAAGAATCGTCGTTTCGCTTCCGATTTTACGACGCGGAAGTGAATGCGGTAATGTTAGCCACGATTAAAGCAATAGCGGATGTTTCTAAAATGTCTGATCAAACCTTATCATCATAAAACTTAATCAGTTGATTATTTCGATGTCATAAACATAAGTCATTAAAAGCATTCTTTCTGATTAGATATTAAAAGTTGCGTCAAATAAATTGATAATTCCAAGATTTAATTATTGTTAAATAAAGTAGCTATTTGTGATTACTGAAGAATGAAAAATATCACAAGATAACGTTACTGTTAGCTGTTTCACTATTGAAGAAATTAAGGTTATTTAAATTTGTAGCGTGCGATAATCCCAATCACCTCAGCACTTGGCAATGATTCTCGTGGCGGATTTCTAATTACGTTCTAGTTGGACTGGACTAGAATTCAGCTACCACGTCGCCCGTTATTTACGGCGCGAGCTAATCCAAAGGTATGCCCACTATTTGAAACGCTAATTGTTCTTACGTATTTCTTACACAAATAATCATGAAAGCATATTTTCTCAAAGTAGAACCATATTAAATTGTGATTTGGAAACTATAGAAATTTATTCTTTCTCCTTTTGAAATAATTATTTTACGAATAGAATTTTATTTTATCCAGATATTTATTGTAATACACATTTTATTAAATTAAATGTAGAAAACAGCTTTTGTAAATATTTGTTAATCAATATTTATTTTTATTTTGTTTTGATTGTAACTGGCAATACTGTATAACTTTTTCGCGCTCTCTCCGCAACTCATAATAAAATGGAATTGATAGAAATGATTTGTTTTATTCGTTTGCAGAATTTTTCTCTCATTTATCCAAAAATACAAATATATGATATACAATATTCTTTAAAAAAAACTTCTCAACTTGCTATATTATTTTTTTATAATTTATTATCTGATAATTTTTTAATTACAATTTATTATTAATTTATTAACACTTTTTATTAATTTATTAATCGATTTTGTGATATCTATACATAGAGAAGGCTACAAAGGACCCCGCACTAATCCTACATGAAATTGGATCTCGGTGAAATCAAATGATTTTCTCATATGTTACAGCTTATGATCTGCTAAACAAAACATATAAGTTTTAGCGCAAAAAAATGAATAGTTTTTGTGTTTGATTTACCTAAAGTCATTGACATCTCACCATAAAATACTCAATAATTTGTAAACGACTGACCCAAAATGATTTTTTAAGTGAGACCCCCCACTTTTTCTTTCATTTTCTTATAGTCCTTGTTGAGACCTTTTCAAAACACTATAATTTTATTCATTTTGGGTCAGTCGTTTACAAATTATTGAATATTTTATGGTGAGATGTCAGCGACTTTAGGTGAATTAAACACAAAAACTGTTCATTTTTTTGCGCTAAAGCTTACATGTTTTTTTTTAACAGGTTATAAGCTGTAACATATGAGAAAACCATTTGATTTCACCGAGATCCAATTTTATATAGGATTAGTGCGGGGTCCTTTATATTACGCACAATAATGATCGTTATTATTAGTCAAAAGTAACTTTTTTTCTTAATTTCGTTATAAATGTTTATTTTATATGTGACTTTATTGTATTGTAAAATATCTAAAATTATTATCATATGCTGATTATATAGCTATCATTAATATATTAAAATCAACTCTCGTCTTACGACGACATAAGTTCTGGAAAGGACGAACTTGGAGGATTATTCATAATTTATGTTAAGAAACGAAACAAAAGCTGCAAAAGCTGTCGCATAATTTTATACTACGGACCGTCGAAGTTTAGACGTCTCGATAATTTCCTCTCTTGCGGATTTCCAAGTGGTTTCAACTTCCTCAGCTCTTTAGGTATCCATAGAAACTATGTGCCGCAGATATCGGAATAAAGTATTGACACTAACTGTCTTCAAAATTCGGCAAGTATAGCAAAAAATAATTCATAAATGAATATCATATCGCTTTGAGTCATTTTATATTGTAAATAATTTTATTAAGCTACTTTAGCAACATTAGAAAATTTAATGAATAATCAAAATATTATATATATATATATATCGTGTGAATTTCAAATCATGTGAATCTCTTCTAAGATCCGAATATTCAAATAATAGAAAGGACAGGTGTATTTTGGTTTAGCTAGAATTAAATTGCATCATTGAGGTTTTCGATTAAACCGAATTCTCGATGTATTTGATTCTGTCTTGTGCTTTGTGGTTACGCCATTTCATATCAATAAATCATTACCATAGCGAGCTCATACAATAGAGTATCCAAGCTCTCCGAAAATAGCTAATAACAATGGTTCATAATATATAGATTTGGTTATTAAAAATTAGCTGAGTCAAGCGAACTTCGATTTTTTTTGTAAATCTAAAAAAAATATAGCCCGGGCAAAAAGCGAACGTCCTAGGCAAAGCGAATATTTTTTATTTTCGCTTATCTATCTGAGATAATGCTATGAATCTTTAGCTGTTGAAGGAATAATCGACCGGCGATGAAGGTGCGGCGACGCCATGAAGGTGCAAAACAACATACGATTGCGTTCATTGGTGTTTGACAGAGAAAATTGTGTAAAAGAAATTGTGTTTTCTTGCGATTTTCGCTAAGGTACGTAGCTTAATTATTAGCAGTAATTGTTTCTTAATCAGTGTGAATGATTTTTTATAAGAATTCTCTGTCTTTAAATGTGTATTCGAGGTTAAAATCTTTCACTTGTTGCTTAAACTTATTCTAATTTTCCAAATTCACACCAAGTAGGTTCTTTGGGCAAAGTGAATGGGAGCAAAGCGAATGGCCCATCCTCTTTACCCGGTATGTGATTGCACTGAAAATACTGGAAAGACGGAGAGATAGATCTTTCGATCTTTCGAGCGAACGAAAGACATTATTTATATCTCACTTTTATTTTTTTTCCACAACGCAATATGTGTGTTTTGAAGAATACACCGAGGCCCATCGTCCGAAGATTGGATCCAGTGCAGTTAGTACACCAATGCACTAATGAAGACTGCATTACATATAGAGGATTTAGCAGCTACTTT